TTAAGCTAAATAAAAAAGAAAAATCCCCACATAGCCTTAATAATAGTGGAAAAATCTAAAATGTAAAAACTGCCAATTTCCATATATTCCATTTGCATCAAGCTGAGCTGTGTGGAGCGTTCATGGCAGAAGTCCAAAGTAAACCATTCTCTCCAAACAGCTCTGACCTCATCAACGTCCTTCTTTGATTCCACGAGGTAAAATTGTCCAAATATCCAAAAATGACCACAACGATCAGAAGCAAAATGTCACAAAAGTCACTGGACATGTTTCAAAGGCAGAGAGGACAGGTCCAAGTTGATGACCTTTCAGATTTAGTTCGATCTCTTCATGGCACTAGGACAACACAGGAGACTGGGACTAAAGCCAGAGCTTATTTTTCTGTAGAAAGTGAGAGGTTGCCTTTAGCAGTAAGGTTATCTGTCCTCCAAGGTTACCTAGAGTTTCTGAGCTTTAACGCCAAAGATGTAGGAGAGAGAGAAAGAGATTGGAAATATACTGCAGTATACAGCTCGATAACAAAGCACCCTTTTCTCTTCTTTGTCCTGTAAAATTACATCTACACGAAACAGTTAAGACATGTCAAAGAAGCAGGCGCACCTTTTTTTTTTAAAGTTCAGAATAAAATTAGAAATCTATGAAAAATATTATTATTTTATCAACAGGCAACTGTTGATACTGTGTTGATGGCTGGTTGTTGCCCACACTGAGGCAGAGGGAGCGAGAAGAAGAGGGTTGTGGGCTACAGCTGTGGCCCCCGTGTCTCTGTAGATTCAGGGCAAATCAGACGGACTAATGCAAAGAGACAGAGAGGCACGGACGCCACCACAGACAGTAACGAGTTCTCATCAATGTACATACGTTACAGTAGGGAACTGAAATACAAGGAACTTCACCCTCATTCACACTGAAGTGGAACACACTCACTCCAACATGAGTCAACGTTTTTTTGTTAATTGTTACTCTTCAAATAGCTCTCCTTTTGTAAACTTTAAAAGTGTGACCTTTATTTTTCTATTTTTGCAATGTAGGATTTAACAACTACTACAGTGAGATGAATTTATATATACAATTTATATATATTTACATATACAGTATATACACGTGTAGATGTATTTGTATCTGTATTAATTTTATAAATATACTGCATATATAGACAGTATATATATATATACACATACATGGGAAGTAGTGATTAGGACAATATATATATTGGTATGTATAACTGTATATCTACAGTATATACATCTACAGTATTTTATATATATTTATATACATATATATGCATATATGTTAGCATTATTATGCTCATTTAACCTTTAGTTTTCGATTTTTTTGGATTGTTTGATTATACAATGTAGATGTTTTAACACCAGGACAGCCACAGTGCCTGGGACAATTGTTTTAATGAGAGCCAGTAAAGACATAGTACCTTCATTAATTCAGAGTCTATCAGCTCCATTGCATGAGTGAGATCTCAACAGTCATTCTCAGCCTGCCAACGACAGCATGGCTATAAATCCCAACAGGCTAAGCCTTCAACCTCACCCATGTTGAAATGCCCTTGGCCTGACACACAATAGCCAGACTTAAATCTAACACTAACACCCAGCCTCCCCCCCCCCAACATCAACAACAGTGGCAGGAGAGTTCCTGCTGCAGAAGGAAGGAAAGCATGAACAGTTACTTCCTGTCACGATGTGAGAGCTGACCATGTGATTTGGGGGTGGGAGGCTGGGAGGGTGGGAGAGGTCTTTCAGTCTCTACGTGACATCACCATAATACTGTAATGGGAGTTAACTTTGAAACTGGTGCATTTTTTTTTATCACACGGAGTGCTTTCACATTTAGGAGATGGAAAGAGTTTAAAACAAATTGTGTCTCAATAAAAGGTCTTCAGAACACTGAAGCATTTGGCGAAGCCCAGGCATTGCGTTATCGGGTTGTCATAATCGGAGGGAAAACCGATAACCGATAATGATTATTACAGATATTAAAAAATATGCTAATATCAGGTCGATAGTATCGGTCAGCCGATATCCCTAATATATATACATATATATCATTAACGTTCATAAACGTTGGGTAAATATTTCTACATTTTAACTTCTGTGTTTCTGAGTGCACCAGGTTCAGCACAGAGTTCAACAGAACTATCTTTTCTTATGGTTAGATTTGTGTTCCTTTTGTAGAACACCAGACAGAAGTGGTGCAGTTTCAAAGGAATCAAAGCACATTCTTTGTTGAACAATCTCCTGAGCTCGGCTATATAGTACGCTTCCACTCAGGTCCTCAGTTTAATGCTTATATTCAGTATCCTACGGGATTTAAATCAGGGATTGGTTCAGGTCAGATCCTATATTTTTCTCTATTCATTCGTTACATCACCAGGAGATTCACAGTTCTGAAAGCACTTTTGTGACGAGACAAGACTCAAATCCTTGATTCCCAACAATAAGGACAATAACGTTCACTTTTTTCCCTAATTTGATTAAAAAATATAATAATCTTTCATCAGACCTGCTTTAGCAGCTCTTCACCAGAAAATAATTTTGTCCTGATCTACAATTCCATGTGTAGTTCTCTAGTCTCAATATCGTCAGATATGATTTTTTCACATATTTTATTTGTTTATTATTTAATAGTTGTATTATGTACCTCTTCTTTAGTACTGTCTCCATATCAGTTATATTTTCTTTTTTTCTTGTTCTGCCCTTCTGCTTTGTGAGCATTGATAATCGTTTTTGTCTCTAATTGAACATTTTTCTTTATTTCCCACGGTGATAAATTAGTTCCAAGCTTTCTTAACATTGTTGCAAATATGAAGATAAAATGNTACATGCTGTTTTCTGTACTGCCATACTTCATACTCAGTATATTATATAATTATACTAATTTACACTAATGATGCTCTCAAGTTCAAATATAATTCACAATATGAGTTCATCAATTATCTTCTCCAGTTCCTTTTGTACACGACCTCTTCACAGTGTGTGGGAACTCTGAGGTGATTACATTGTTACAGCTTTAAATATGTGTTAATAATAATAATAATAATATATATATATACATCTATATAAATATATTATAAATAATATAATAATTATATATGTGTATATATATAACGAAAACAGACACTTCATGGCTGATTACTGTTGTTTGTTCACGGCTAATTAAATGTCACGGATAAAACAAAGATGGATTAATTGTGTCATTAGCAGCTTTAACAGTATTCTCTCTGTGTTATTGTTATTGTTGACAGCCACGATCGCTCTCCGCAGCATTTCCAGGTCTGAACCCTTCCAGCTGCACATGTACAGAACATTTTAACAGCTACAAACAGACATTTCCAAGTGTTTATTTTGTGCAAATGAAAGTGTGTTGTGATGGTAGAGGACGGTGAAAGTGACGGTTGAGACCAAGGTATTTCTACTCTGTGATTCAGGGTTCTCTGTTCCTGGCGTTCTCTCCGTCTTTCCCTCTGTTCGTGTGCAGACAGCCAGCAGAGGCTCACACCATCAGTCACTCTCCTGTCCTTCTGAAAGCTACATCTTCTGCTGACATTCTCGTTCAAGCTCAGCTTTGATGGCAGCGTGTCAGAGACATGGTCAAAACAATTTCAACCTGTCCCAACATAGAGCTGCACCACACAGACACTGTCCTCCGTCTGAGTTTCCAAAGAGAACGACAACAATCAAAACAATCTTGGCGTCCTCCAACACAGCTATGGTTTGACGGATTTTGAGCGTAACGACAACTGTGCTGTTATTTCATATCCCAGGGGAGACTCCCCGGCTGTGGGGAGCTCCCCGTTATCTTTAGCCTGCAGCAGCACGGCTGGCACGACCCCTGTTTTTGTAGGAAGAAGAGTGTGTGTCTGCCACTGTCTCTCGTCCTGCATGTGTGTTTCAGTGATAAAGAGCACTGGGTGAATAGAGAGTGAATGTGTCATGTGAGGAGGATGGACGGAGGAATGACAGGAAGCTGTCGAGTTTCTCTCTGAACTGAATCCACTCAGATATAATGTTTCAATGGGAATGTTATGGTTCAATATCTCAAGTGTATATGCAAAAAAATATTATATTAGTCGTATTTAAAAATAATAATAATGAGTAACTTTGTAAGAATACATCTGTACAATTACAGTTTGTTCTGTGCAACCCACACAGGCAGCCACAGGAGGCGCCATTAAGTATGTGATTCTTCTGAGGCTCAAACCCAGGACACTGATACACTGTGTAAAGAAATAATGTAATATATAAGAGTACAATACGAGGAGAGCGCCCTCTGCCAGGTCACACAACATTATCAAACTCTCTCTTTTCAATGAAAATATCTTATTGTTGACGTGATTTCTTTTGCAGCATTTTTTGTTGTCTCTGAAAGTTTTCTTCACTTTCTTTTAAAGTACATGTATTATGAAAGTTTTTTGCAGGAATCTTTTTATTCCAACCTCCCACATTATTGTCTGGACATTGTGATTCACTGAAGGCTGCGGCTCCTTATCTCTAAGCAACTCTGATCGACTGCACTGCCTGGAGAACTGCTCAGAGCTCAGAGCTCGGCTCAGAGCTCGGCTCTGCAACTCCATTTTTTTAAGTGTAAAAGAAAAGACACTCGCTGCCATTTTTCAACATGATCACTGAAGCTGCTGCAAAAATCTGCTGGAAAGTATCACACCCTCATTTATTATTGATATGGCCTGAAGCCTTCCTTGTGCGTGGGATGACAAACCAAATAATAAAAACCACGAGCAGCAACTTGGTAGCAAGGTTTTTGTTTGAAAATTTGAATTTCACAAGGACATCAGTCGCCCTTTCATGTCTCGTTAGTGATTTTATAATGAACAGAGTTGTCCCTAATAAATCAACAGCGCATCCCTGAGAGGTAAATACAACTTGAAGGTCAAGAGGTCAAACCTGGAGCTGATGTACCTGACATTTTTCTAATTAATTTCAACACAGGTTAAATCAGTGCTGTGGGTCAGACAGAGGACTTACATGGACAACTCATTTGTCAGAAGACGGGTTCACAGACGGTGGGATTTTTCTGAAAAAGAGAAGGAAAAAAAATAACTTTTGAGAGTGCTTCAATGGTTTAATCTTTACACAATGACTCATCTTGAATTTTCATACCAACAGTGAAATCAGGATGTATTCTTCAACAAACACATGCCCAGGTCGAAAATAGACCAGCTTACAGAAACACAGAGATACAGAGTTGAGGATAAGGTACCATTTCAAATCGGTTTAAAATAATCTGATAGAGAGACTGTGCTGCAGGGCAACTCGTGTAGCAGCTCAGACCAGCAAAGTATCAGAAACAGCTCCACCTTGTTCTTTACTTCACTCTCTGGCCTACTTTCTACCTGTGCTCTTCTTCCTTCTCTCTCTCTCTCTCACTCTCTCTCACACACACTCTGACATACACATCTCAGTCACAGCAGGAAGATCTCAACTTCTCACTAAACCTTTGACATCATTGGACCAAAGCTGTGTCCTTCCATCACTGACACCTTTTCAGTCTGGGATGTATGGCGTAGTACAGTGTTTTATAATGATTTTTTTTTTTTGTCAATTGAATTATTCTGTTTGCCAGATTCTATCTTAAAAAACAAGACAAGAAGAGACCGATCTGGACTGCAGGCCGGTCCGTCGAGCACATGCTCTCCATGTCCATGAAGCCGTACGTGCAGAATAACATTATCCTGCTAGTCAGGCTACACAATTACCACTAACCCAAGCACTTGCTGCTTAAGTTTTCCTTATTTATTTACAAAATGTTGAACTTAATACATTTTTACAAAAAGTGAGCAGAAATCTAGACATTAAACACTTGATGACACAAATGACTCCATTGTTTTTTGATAAATCAGGCTCAGAGAACGGCACATGATTTGGCAACATATTTAGAGGTGGCGCCATCTTTGGTGACACGGTTTGATCATTGACTTAAAATAACAAAATTCAGGGTCTCATTTCAGAACCACATTAGTCCAGATTTGTTGTAGATACGTGATGTAGCCTGTCCCAAGTTCTGCTAGTACCCGATCACTCCAACGGGTCCCATGCATCATGTCCTGATTATAAGACAACCATACCTACATAAAATGACATGGCGGGCCAAATTGGGTTTGTGTGCCTTGAGTTTGACATATGTGTCCCAAAGGACGAAGTGAGGGAAGGTGAATGAACCATGACCTACAACTGTAATACGACAAATGAAAAGATCATGTGTCAGAACAGTGCCTACTGTAGATGAACTCACGTCATATCTCTGTAACTGTACAGTGTGTGGATGGACAACCCCGAGGACACACATCAAAGTACATCTCAACTCTCCTCATCATGAATTATGGATCCGTCTTTCTCCTCTAAAATTCAATGAAAAACACGTCTTTGTTCATGGAGTCCCAAGCGCTGGGATAATGTATACAGCGTACAGACATAACATAATGCTTTATGTTAATATTCCAGAGCTGCAGCCAGATGAGTTTTTAAATAGTTTCACACATACAGTTTTCAGTACGCAGCGTGAAAATGTTTGATATTCTCTTTGATAATTTGGAAAATTCATCTGTTGTTCATCTGTGTCTCTACTGTAATACGACAAATGAAAAGATCATGGCAGTGTGCCTACTGTAGATGAACTCACGTCATATCTCTGTAACTGTACAGTCTGTGGATGAACAACCCCGAGGACACACATCAAAGTACATCTCAACTCTCCTCATCATGAATTATGGATCCGTCTTTCTCCTCTAAAATTCAATGAAAAACACGTCTTTGTTCATGGAGTCCCAAGCGCTGGGATAATGTATACAGCGTACAGACATAACATAATGCTTTATGTTAATATTCCAGAGCTGCAGCCAGATGAGTTTTTAAATAGTTTCACACATACAGTTTTCAGTACGCAGCGTGAAAATGTTTGATATTCTCTTTGATAATTTGGAAAATTCATCTGTTGTTCATCTGTGTCTCTAAACAACACACTCACACACACACACACACACACACACACTCACACACACACACACACACACACACACTCACACACACACACACACACACACACACTCACACACACACACACACACACACACACACACACACACACACACACACACACACACTCCAAAACAACAAAGCACAGCATGCACACAGAACTGTGTCTGTGAAGGTAGAGAAAGCATACAGTATGTAAATCACAGACCGCGCGGCTCTGCAGTGTCTCCGAGGGGAACCTCACTCTGTTTCAACAGTTTTCATCACAGAGACATCCATCACTGTGGTTTTTTGTAGATTCAACATCAGTGAGGATTAAAGACGTCGTCTAGTACTTTATATTTGAGTATTTATTTATTTTAATCATGTTTGCGTTTTTAATTTAGAAATTGCGTTCGATGTTTGGTAAAGTTAGACCAGTTAGAGTTAGAACTCGCCATCTCCCATACATTTATTAAGGAAGTCTGGTTCCATCATTACGCCATGAGGCGTTAAAACTCAAGAGCGGATGAATACGTCCTCATCTGCACATCCAGGAACTGTACAAACATGTTTTTATACTTCAGAAGGTTTGGAATGCTCTAAACATCACATATACTTCCACTTTACGTATTCACATATAACAGTTTTTTTGTTTGTTTAATTTAGTTTGAGCTGCCACCTCTAAAATCATCATAGCAGGAAAAATGGATGATAATCAAATCAGTCAAAAATTCCTAAGATCGTTGTCATCGTCTCAAGGATTCTACTTCAGACCCACAAGTTTGAACTGTTGGACTGTTTTGTTGCTTCATCGCCCGCTGCTGAAGCTGAAAGATTAAAGTCAAATTGCACTTCATGCTGCTGCACTGGTTTTTAGATACAAGTTAGATAAATTAAAAACCAGATTGGCAGGAAGATTGAGGCGTCAGGCAGGAGAGGTCTGAATATGAAGACGTTTATTTACAGAGCTGCTCATTAACTCTCACGTCTGGACTGAAAACCAATTTTTACAGAGCTAATAGTTTATTTTCCTTTTTGCCAGTTTGGTTCTAGAAATGATCAACTTACTGTTTTTATTCTTAAATATCTGAAAAATAAAGTTCTTATAGTGTTTTTGCATCAAAGTCTCTCTGTACCACGACATGAAGCTTCGCTCTTCCTCCCTAGTCATGAACACACTCTATACACACACGTGTAAAAACCCGTGGAGCCTTTCAGGGTACAGGGACAGATGGTTAGAGGGAGCAGTGAGAAAATGAAGGAACGAAGGTGAGATTGGAAGTGAAAAATACCACGTGGATTTTGTCAAAAGGCGTCAACAGCCGCTTCTACGGTGGGGTTTGAAAGACAACAGAGATATTAAAGGGTTAAATGTGAGGAGTTGGAGAAAAGCATCATTTTAGTACTGAATCACTATTGTTGTACTGATAACAACCAGAATGTGTTTGTTACACAACAGTTGATCTAGTGATTCATTCAACCACTTCCACCGTTTAATGAGGGCAACATGGCAGGACAAAACAGTTGGGTACAAGACAGAGATAAGTACTGCCTGACTGCCAAAAGTATTTCACAGTATGCAGTCAGTACCCAGTCAGTATGCAGTCTGGATTGTTGGAAAAGCTGCAATTTTTCAACTACAAACTAATCACATCACTCAGTGTGTGCTAACTGAACTTTGTCTGAAAGCCAAAAGCAGGTCGACGGTTACTGAAGAATTAACAAAATTTGATATCATTCTAAAAATGACATTGTATAATTTTTTATCCCAAGAATGCAACAAAAACAGACCAAATGAGTAGTGATCAGTACAGGAGGCTAAAATATGACATAAATGGGACTAAAATGAATTTGAATGAATCTCTGTTTGCCGGTTTACTATTCCCAGTATCACATCTTTTTCATAAGAACATGTAAGGTAATATTTGTGTTTCCTCTCTGATTAAGAAATTCAGTGATTACATAAAAATAATTGTAACATGACAGCTCACATTTTCATTACAGCGGCGGTAGAACGCCGTTAGCCCGTTGTTAGGGTTAATACACAGGAGACACTCTCAGAGCTCTCAGGGAAAACGTAGATATATAGATGTAACTAAATAAGTTGCATTCAATTACAGCCCACTGAGAGCTGCAGCAATATCCCTGATGTTATTATCTCTGTCTGCTAAGTGGCTTACGCTACTGCCAACAACCCGTCTTTAGAGCTGATTCTCAGTTTAACATCCTGACTATTGCTTTAGAGAGGCTCCTGACGGCCAGAAAGTCAAAACCTGTCTCCGTCCCTGCCACTGTGATGTCGTTATCCTGGGACAAAGTGTCGCGGTTGCAAGACGGGACCTTGTAAAAAAGCAGATCTCCTTCAGGAAGTAACTGAGCAACCTGACCTGACGGCACCGATTCATGGGAATCCAAAGATGAATGAGAGTCGTGGGAGGCGATGCTTTAAAGAGGAAGAAGGAACGGATTTAACTGAAGCGAAGATGACAAATCACCACAGGCCGAGCCATCGTGTCTCCGCGGCCGGTGGCTCTGATGTCTGACACCTCGTAGTGGTAGGAGAAGAAGAGGTCAGGAGGTCACGTTCAACTGACAACAAGGAGGAGGACTGTCACACTGAAAGTAGGACAGGAGTGTTTGGCCTCCTTTCAATGCCCGTGGGAAGAGCAAGGACTGCTCCGTCTGATCTCGGTGCTGCATTTACTGAGCCATAACAGCAGAATGTTCAGACGGTGAGAGGCAGCAGAAGGCTGATAATAAAAAGTGCTGTTCGTGTTTGTAAATCACAACAGAAGCTCTGTTCTACTGTGGGTCAGAACCAAAAGCCCAGGAATATCAGAGGAAACTGAACAGAGCCGTTTACAAACCCTCAGCCAGGCCGATGTAAACACCACAGGTGTCAGTCGAAAGGTTCTAAGACGGATAATAACAAAAAACATATATGTACATTTTTAACCATGAAAAGAACCATGATTAGTGCTTGATTTTAGCCTAAACTCTTCTGCACGAAGCGTTTGATACAACATTTAATTCACTTTTGAACCTTTAACATTTTCAAAC